AACATTGTAACAAAAGATGCTTTTAAGACATACTCAATGCCATTACAAACAGTTATCAGACTTAGGGGTCAAATCATAGGCCTAAAAGAGACCAGTTGGTCAAATAGGCAGATCAGCCATAACCAGCCACCATAGTGATACTGGATGTCCCAGGACACCAATGCATGAAATGATCATGCAATTAGAAGAGTTGCCATGTCTGCACCAGCAGTTATACTATCATTGATTCAATGCCATTTGCCAGCTTACAGGTATCCCAGGATATCCGGCTCAGATCTTGATGTCCATTAAGATGCTTGCCATTGACACTCCATCATAAGCAGTGTTGTCTTGCAGGGTGCAGCTCTTGCTCAAGCTGGACAGCGCCCAATTGAAAAAAAAAAATATGACTTACAGTGATAATTAATGCTTTTCTCTTAATATTGATTACCACTACATATGTACCTGAAGGCAGAGAAGTGAGCAATCCAATGTACTCGAGCAGCACACAGCCAAAACACTGGGTATGACAGTCTGGGAACAATTAGCTAGGACAGTTATTCACCATTAGCCCTGCTGTAAGGTATTCTGACTGCTCACAGGTACATTGATGATATTTCACAGCCAGTCATACTGCCTATGCTAGCAGGTTGTACTGGTTCTGTTTTCCAGCAGGACAATGCTCGGCTACATATAGCATAACTTTCTCAACACTCTGACATTTTAATATCCTTGACCGGCCTGTCAAATCTCCAGATCTGTTATCTATCAAACATGTTTGGGACAATTCTGGCAAAATCAGCCGCATACAAATACGCCTCAACTTGCTGAACAGTTGCTTTTCTTAAATAGAATGCTTTCTTTTTCACCCGCTTTATGATTATTTGTTAATCTACTTGAACACTATATACTGCCAAGTTTTGTAGTTGTGGCTCAATTCTTTATAAGTGTATGTACTTTTTTTGCAATGAGTGTAGTACAAAGTCCAAAATCCGGACTTGTTGGGACTTCCGTGAATCCGGATTTGAGATTTTTTCCAGATATTTGATCATCAATTTAAATCTAGTAAGATGGCATGTAGAAATTATAAAATTAAAAATATGAAACCATGATTTATGAAATAATGAAGTATTTATGATCTAAAGGGTATCAAAATTTACCAAAAAAAAAAGCTTAATGTTTATTTGTTTACCTTATTAAACATTTCTTTCAATTAAGTTGTTTAGGTTGCTTCGTTTTTTTGTGATAATAGTTTCTCTTTAATTCTGTAGACAGACATAATTTCTTGTTCAGTTACATTGTTGAAGTCTTGTAACTGCTGTTTCGAGAATTCCGACTAACTTGTCAATCGAAATTTCTCATTTTCAGTAACTCACTGTCCTTTCTTCACTAACGGTAGAGGTTTTATTGGATCTAAAACCATACTAAAATTTCGCCATTCATTAATTGATTGATGATAAGAAGCACTGCCATCACAATAAAACTTCTTTTATATCTCTTCATTTATTACCACTTCTTCCACATTCTTCAAATCCATTTTGGAAAATTTCACCTTTGTTTTTGATCTCTGAATACCTTTAAAATTAGCAGATATCATCACAAATTTAAGCTATCCTTCACTTACACATTGGCTATGCATCATGAGCTTGACGACCACTGACAATTGTTCCATTAAATTTATCTTGCTTCTATTGTCAGGACAATTAAGCCTGAATTGTATCAGTTTAGTTATTTATTATACTTATGTCTATTTCTTGCATATGCTTAAGGCTTATCAGAGTTCCGAATAAATAAATTCACACAGAGATTTAAGCCAGCACAAGTTGTCATACTTTGATAAACATGCAGTGATGAAAGGAAAAATATAATAAATAATGATTCGCCAGGTTGGCGTCAGATCAACGATGTATCTATGTGGAATGTTTCAGTTTGAGATATGTGTCAAGCAGATACGCAGCAACGGAGCCAACTTACTGATTGTACAAATTTATGCTAAAATGATTGTTTTTTCAATAACAAAGTATTTTATTTCGTGTTGAAGTGAAATTAATAATCAGGACTCTCCAGATCCTTTATTATGCATGGAGGGGGAATCAAACGTGCATGCGTAAAGTCTATGAGAAAAAATTTTGTTAGTGGTTTTGAGGTCCAGATTTTAGATCATTCCAGATAACGGATGTCCAGATTTCGGATTTTGTACTGTATTAATTTTCTATCTGAAATCTAAAGTTTGGTACTTGTATGAGATTTTTGTTGGTTACACTTTAAAATTCAAACATTTTGACAGCTAAACATTAATATTTCAGACTGATGTTTATTTCAAATAATTTTAGTGTTTTATTAATCATCAAATAACTTACCTTAATTTAAATTATAAATAAACAGGTTATGAAAATTTTCTAAACTTTCTAAAACTAAGCGACAATTACAAAACATGGCATACAAATGTGGTTTTCCAAGTTGTGCACATGATTAAACTTGCAACACCAATCAGTACTGTGCAGTGATACAACGAGCAAAAGGAACAAAATTACAGTTGCAAGAGAAACAAAAATTGAATTAAAAAATAATGAGAACCTAGTCTCTTTGTCTTATTTAATAATTTTTTCTTTAACACGTAAATTAAAATACATATGTTTCTGTGTAAATAATTACGAATTTTCATTCTAAATACAAAATTAATATAATAATAGACATATAACAATATAATGTCTGTGTATAGAACAAAATCACTAATTATCTTTACTATGGTTTGTAAATGTTCACTGGTCAATTGAGCTTTTTCCCTTGCTAAATTTCAACTGTGAATAAAAAAGGCCATTAAGATATAAATGTACAGACAAAGTGATTATTCTTAGTGCAACAATTCATAACTCAGCATACTTCTTTTTTAACAAGCACAAATAAAAGTTAATCAAATCTGTGTCTTCCAATCTTTGAATAAGTTTATATCACATTGTAAATTAATTAGTTAAATTTATAGATTTCCTGGTGCATTGTTCATCTTAGTTTTTAATGGCAATGAAAATAATGAAAATTTGGACTCCAAATAACTAAAATCTTGAAGTCTGCATTTGCAATAACTACATAACTGAAATGTATTTGTGGGCTGCATAAATTTGCTTCATGGCTTGCCAAAAATTGAGACTACTGGCTTTACACTCACAGATCATTAAAAAGCACGCATAAGAACACATAATATTATTATGCTCCCCCTGTATCAAAATGATCAGCCAATTATAAATTTGTACTGGATTAAGAAAACCAGAATGGGAAGAGTACTTTTGAATATGTTATCTTCCACTTTTATAAAACAGAATTTTGATATTATATGCCAAATTTATTTTCATTTTTTTTATACAGCTATGGCAAAGAAATGCAATTTTGCAGGAGCTACTGAGAAATTTTAAAAAAGAAAGACCTAAGCATGGTATTATAGCAGCTATTGGTAAAAAACATGATGCGCCGGCTGCAGCCGTTCCCAGATACGGCAACACACCAAACACTGCTACAGTAGAGAACACACTGATGTTGTCACAAAAATAAAGGACATTGTAATTATTGATTTACATCAATGGACATGAAGAGATTTTGGAAAAAAATCAGAAAAGTCTCAATTTGCAAACATGCTTCATAATGAAATCTTTCTGATGCAGTGAGAGAGCCACTAGCAATGATGCAGGGTATAAAAAAACAAATGTATATTGAAGTATGTTTTAAATACCACAAAACCTGAATTGCAAGATAAGAACACATGAAAAAGTGTCTCAATCTTGAAACAGGAATTTATTACTTGTGTCAGAGAACCCATCAGTGTGGCTCATGAAGTTATACAGTACAAAGTCTCTAATCCGGATGTCCATTATCCAGAATGATCTTTAATCTGGACCTCAAAGCCACAACTTACCATGGCATAACCAGTAAGCATTTACAATGCGCGCTTCCGACGTGAAGAAGTAACAGACAACGCTACGAAATGAAAAAAGTTTGATTGACAAGTTAGTCGTATTCTCGGACACAGCAATTACAGGACTTGAACAGTGGAACTGAACAAGAAATTTTGTTTATAGATTAAAGAAAGTATTAGCACAAAAACGAAGCAACTTGAAATTTACTTGATAGAAATTTACTAAAGTAAACAAAAATTAAGCTTTTTTTTTTTTTTTTTTATTTTGATACCCTTTAGATCATGATTGCTCTTTATTTCATAAATTATGGTTTCATATTTTTAATTGCATTATTTCTGCATGCCATCATACCAGATTTAAATTGATGACCTATAATCCAGAAAAACCCCTAATCCAGAATCGCCGAAGTCCCGATGAGTTCGGATTACGGACTTTGTACTGTACATAATTTTAAAAATTAAATAACATGTAATATAGATAAAAAAGAAATAAATATGTATTATGCTTATATATTTGTATTGTATTTAATAAATTATACTTATGTCTTGATATTAGTGATAAAGCTGGGAAAACATAATTTTTTTAAAATTTTAAAGGGAATACTCATTTTGATACAAATAATTCATGCAAATAGGGCAATTATTTCAAGACAGCAGGAGTATTATATATTTCAGAGGACTTACGAATTTCAATAATATTCTTTTTATCTAACACAAAATAATTTTTACATTGTCACTATAAATCAGAAATTTTTAAATCACTTGCTGAAAAAGTTAATGGAAAAACACAAAGAAATTTGGTTTGGGTTATTTGTTTATGGCAAAGCACTTGGCAGCTATCTGCCTACGAGGAGGAATGGCTTTATGAAGGCCTTTCTACGGGAAACTGACTTTTATACATGTTACACATAGAGAAAACCATGAAAGCGCCCATAACAGCTAGCCCATTTTGCTGGGATTTGAACCACAGATCAAAATACCAGTGTTCAGCAACTTTATCACTTGGCTGCTGGAGGGCTTCAATATGGAAGGAAGAGAAATAAATATGTGAAGAAATACGGTATATATTAAACAACATGAATAAATACATATAAATATGATTAATTATAATTACCTGGAGTTCTTCTTTACATCTTCTCTCCTCCTCCAAGCTCATGCGTTTTTCATGTTTCTTGAAGTATTTCCTTTTAGCAGCTTGCAAATTGAACCATGTATATGAAAAGGCTTTGACATGAGGCAACAAAGCCTCAATGAATGGATGGAATTCATCCTGCATGGAAAAAAGTTTCATTTAATGATAAACACATTAAAAAAATAAAGATATATTTACGATAAGAATTTTTTTAAATTTAAAACTACACCTATCACTCACAAAAAAGGGGGGTATGACAAAACAAATGCACAACAGAACTCTGAATTTGATACAACAGAAGAATTTGATACATATTCAATGCATTCTGAAAATTAGGTTATTTTTATTTTGAAGCTGCAACACAGTGCAGATAAAAGCTCATTAAATGGGATGGAAACTGATATATTATGACCACATTTGTTTAGACTATTTTATGAAAAGGAACACATCTTATGGTTAAATAACTCATGAAGAGTAAGTCTTATATATAGTACATAATTGCATATCCATTAAAACATAAACTATTACATATCTGGCAAAAATCATACATGAATCTACATATTATATAGCTTTTAAAGGATAACAAAATTTTCCATCAAAGTGGTGCCTAAACAAGGTCATACTGCAAGAAATATTATATGAATATTTATTAATGTAGTAATGCATGTAGTGCACATAAAAATTAATGTAGTAATAGGATACGATATGTATATTCATATTATACTTCTCTAATGGATTGCCTCTGCATAAACTTAGTAAGTTTACATTCATGTTCACAGTCGTTCTATTAGTATATTTTGCATTACTACATTAATTTCAATTTTAAATTCATTAAAAAGAGTCAAATTTCTTTTGCTTTATTTGATATTAGTATTTTTACTAGTGGATGTGCATTTATATTTTTGTTTAAAGAAATGACACTGCATTGAGGAGGAGTTCAGAATTTTCAGGTAAACTGTTATAATTAAACAATTTAGTATGGGTTCATCAGCTAATTCTGGATAACAGAAATGCAGTAGTTTTCAAAGGGAAAGGGAGTTCAATTGAGTCTGATGTACAATGCACAAAAAAAAAAGAAAGGGGGGGGGACAATTCTATATCTCCTATTCTACTGAACCGATTAACAAAATTCAAATTGCGCTTTTCTTGTCTCGAAAACGTGACTCAGGATATATATTAGATTTATATATAGCATTGTTCTAATATAGGTATTTTGACACAAAATCGGACTTTTTCTGAAGGGACAAGCCATTTTTTTCCATATTTCGATTCTACGACTTAAATTATTCCTACATATAAAATTTTGTAAAATTAGGTGCGAAATTTACGGAGAAATTCATAAATTTATCTTGCCACATTTTTTTTTTCAGTTTGCATCAAGAATAACTTGGCAAACTTCTTAACTGATAGCACTCTAATTTCCTTTATTTATTATTTTTTTTTTTCATTGTACACAAACGTGAAAAAAGTCCCGTTCATTACTTTCAAATAATTTTAACAAAGTGTGTAAACCACATTTGACATTATTATTGCTTGCAACAAAGATGGCAAATTTTAAAATGCACCAATGTGTAAATTCACATATTATCTTAGAAAATTTTGAATAAAAATTCTTCATTTTTTGCAGGTGTGCCTAGAAATATATCTATTTTAAGATGATGTTAAAAATTTTATAAGTTATAATAAAAAAAAAATTTCGAAAAGTTTATAAAAATATTTAAAAATAAGTCATAAAAAATGTGCAAATTATATTTGGATTATGCCTAAATTTCGAATTCTGGAAGAAGGAATCAAGTAAGTTTAATAAAAAAAAGAGGATATTAATAAATATATATCAAATTTAATTAACATAAGGGAGCTAAAATTTTGAGAGCTAATTTTTTAAAAACTACTTGTGCAATTTTTACAAAACTTGGCAATTTGACATAATTTGGGTCATAAAATCGAAACACGAAAAAGCATTGGTATGTTATTGATAACGTTATATCAGATTTGATTGCATTCTTCTTCTATGCATTTTTTGTGGTTTTAGTTTTCACATTTCTTTAATTTTTCTAACTTTCCATTAATTTTACATATTTATAAAGAATTTTGAAAAATACTGGTATTTAATTTCATTTCTTTCAGGGCTTTGTGGAATTAGTTCTAAATTTCTTACGTTTTGTCTATATATGTATGTCTATATATATATAAATGTTATATGATCTTAAATTCCTTAGTTCGAACAAGTTTTTCTAATACTTGCGCAATGCTGCAAGTAAGATAATAATATTTATTAAAAGAAATATTGATTATATTACCTCTAATATAAAATTTAGTAGAAGTCAAAAAAGAGTGAACCCGTATGTAGGAAGTTTAATTCCGAAATTGTGTTTTAAAGTACATTCAATGTAAATATTAAAAATGTTTATGGGGACTTGATTAATTATGAATAACACATTCAAAACTTTGAAAAAGAAATTAAATTAAAAGCAAGTATTAAGCCACAATAACCCCGATAAATACGAATTCAGAAGTCAACAACAAAAATCAGGCGTATAATTACAAAATTTTCACAGGACCAGTTTCGATGGTTTACTGACCACATCTTCAGCTGCAAAACCGCAAATGAACAAGATAGGAAATAAGATTAGATCAGATAAGAAAGGCTGGACAATAACAAGTGGCGCCATCTGTTGGTGAAACCAGAACAACAATCTTCTTTAAAAGCGAAGGCAAATTTGGATTGGAATAGGATCGTTAACTAGAACAGAAAGATTTTATAATGTGAAATGCCTCTAGAAATTAGTTCTCCATGGAGATGTTTTTGAATAATTTTGGCAGCAGAAAACGAAAGTGTGGTTTTCGGACCAACAATGTTGAGCAACAGAAGACTTCTGTGTTTCCTTTTTTCTAACATATGCCTCATGTTCCTTGATGCGAAATTTTAATAGTCATTTTATTTATTTATTTACTCTTGCTGACGGTCTTCCATAGGGCTCCGGCACTTCTAATCTTAGAAATTAAGCCCTGGTATTACTCCTATTGCAATCTTAAAATCAGCAGGTTCCATGGGCAATTAATCTGATAAAACTTACAAAATAATATTTATGTATAATTTTTGCAGATCAAAATACACACACATATATATACAGTATATAATTTTTTTTTTTTTTTCAAATGCCAGGATCTATTAAACATTTATTTATTTAATTAAGAATTTTCATAATAATAATATCTTATAATTCTAATTCTCATTTTGAAGTGAAATCCCACCATTTTAATAAAGATAACATAAATGATAAATGAGGCATGTAGTTCAATGTATGCTTCATGTTATCAAAATGCATTATCAGTAATTTGATCGGGGGCTGCTTTATATTGCATCCTTTTGAGAACTGACTCTTCCATTCTATTTGTTAATTGAATATTGAAAAAATTTATAATTTTAACTTAACGTAAACTTTAAAAAGGGGTGAGAGAATTTAATGCATAAAGAATGCATCTGAAGTAATTATGATTCAAGAACCATATATCACGGCCAATAAATGATGTGTAAACTTGAGATTTGAATGATGTTACAATTCCGGAGGAGTACATCGCCCATGATTACACTGCAGAGTAATTTTTTCGAGAATTGTCAACAGAAATTTTATTCAGAGGTGGAAGCACAAAAATGACTACAGTATATTATTACCAATATTGTAGTCACTTAAATTAACCAGAATCTCTAAATCAAAATAAGAGAAAGAAATGATAATAAGCTGCCATATGCGATCAGGAAAACGCACCCATCTAATATATTAACAATTTTTTCTTTTGTACCTTTTTAAAAAATTTTTTTCACTTAGTCAAATGAGACAAATGCAGTCCACAATGATAATCAGAACAGGAAACTGCATTTAAAAAAAAAAATCCCTTCAAGGGGACTGCTGAGAAATATATAAAGAAACAATGAAATGCTATGCGTCCACTGAAATTTTTACCAGCCAACAGTAAGCGATGAATGCACGCCGCTCTTCTTTTTTTATTAAGCTCCGGAAATGTCCGTTTCGCAATCTAGTAGTATACGTAACACAAAAACGCAACAGGTAACAAACCCCCGTGGCCTTCGGGTGGACCAAGGTGAAAAGATAGGCCCGGGCTAGACATCGGCTACTATTACAAAGAGCCGGAGTGGAAGTACCAGGAACTGCGGAGCGTGGAACGGGATCCCCAAGGTCGCCCGCTGAATCTCTCAAATGCGGAAGCTGCTGCCACAAGGCCAACTGGGTGAGAGTCACGTGACCCAAATTCGTTTTACCGAGAGGAGTAAGTCAGTCGGTTCTCTCCTCTGCACTGCCCTTTAATAATATCTCCACCTCTTTCCGTTTTCTCTGCGGAGAATGAATCGGCATTAGCCAAATGTTCGGTTGATCTCTCGTTTATAACATTTTTGACTGCAGGGAAACTATTTCTATCCCCCCTCCCAAATTTCAATGCCTTGACGCATCCTGAGGTAAAAACTTCATCTCCAAGTTGAAAAGCTGCTGCTGAACTTTTGCCAATGGGACGTAATTTCCAGAGAAATATTCTGTCATCAAGCAGTCAGTAAACTTAAGATAATGCTCGTGATTAATTCTTTTTTTAACAAATGAAAAGATGCTCTTCCACTTGTGAAAAAGATCTTGTTCAGAAAGAAGAAATTGTTGCCAATCTCCACGGCTTAAGAACTTCCATTTACCTTCTCAAATGTAAACATTAATATCGCTCCTACACTAAAACAAAGTATGCGCTGCTTACATTTGAATACAACATTTTTTTAAAAGTATTTCTACTTTTTAGTGCAAGGTTATCACTTAGCGCTACATTTTAGACGCTAATCTGGGATCTAAAAAATCCTGTCACCTCCTCCTTTCCCCTCAAAAGACGTTAGAAACGTTAGATGTTACTTATTTTAATATTATTTTCAGTCTTTTCTCAGTT